TGAGTAGAAATCTCAACAATCACAGTGGAATCCATTAGAAAGTTGGCTATGAACAAGAATCCATACAAAATCACAGTCAATGTAACTTCCAACTTAGTATCAAACAAAACCATGATGGAGAACAAGTGATGAATATCTAAACTTCAAACACTTGTATTATCTGGCAAGAGAATCATATTCGACCTAAGGTAACTCATCTTGCTTTGGCTGAGTAAAAGGAGGAGGAGGAAGAGAAGGTTCTGGAATGTAAGGGAATAGCGGTGTGCCGTGCTGAATGGGTCCCGGTCGAATCGAGCTTGTCAAACTCGGTATCGGATCAATCGCCCGATAATCCTCTAAACCAACTTTTCCATCCCCATTTTCGCCATTTGTATTCTTGTTACCCTACAAGATTCAATTGTCTCATGTTGATTATCTCTTTAACATTTCTTCAAGAATATGACTAATAATAAGAAATGACGTCAATGAACAAGCAACAGAAGCAGAAAGGCCAATAGTCAGAATAATGTCAATAAGGCGACATTAGAATTATCGCTCGCCTTCTACATATCAATCGGACTTGGGTAAGAGTTTCTTTTTTATTTTTTATTTTTTCACCATTTTGGTTTCTGATGGGAGGTTTATCTACCCTTAGCTGAAATAATAGTACCTTAAGCTTCCTTCTTTTGATGTTCAATGGCATAGCATTTCTCCAGTCTATTGAAACCATACCTACAAGTTTAGATCACAACAGTTAAATTATAATATAACCCACACAACACAATAAGGAAAGATAGAAAGAAAGAAACGGAACCCAATTATTATTCAGCATTGCAATTTAAATTGAGGATTGAATTTGCTCAAAGAATATGCCCACTAAGGGTAGCTATTACACACACACACACACAGAGAAACACACACATACAAATACACACACTCAAACACATACTGCACGGTTACTTGAAAGAAATACCAGGAGACCCTTAGTATTGTTCTAAAATAGGCCTTGATTTATGTAGCATAAGACTCCATTGATCTTTAGATTCAACAAATTACAACATAAACTACTACATGTACTCACAGAACCTTTGAGAATGGAATGCAAGAAATACCAACACGTGAACAGAAAAATGTACAAGAGATGCACAAAATGTTGATCCCCACACAAGAATTTGTGATATATTTGAAGTATTTCCAAGTCCTTGGTGAAGTCTTATTTTAGTTCTCTCTGTTTGAGTAATTGTCACGAATTAAAAATTCAAAGAAAATTGCTCAAGAGCGACATCTTTTGGCGGCAACAGAACATAAGACAGAGAGATAAAAACCATGTAACTTCCCCTCATGACATTTTCAGCTCGATCGGTGGTAAAGTGGAGAAAAAGCCATAGCTCTTTCCAAATTAAACTTCATATGTAAAGGATAATAAGAAAATTGGCTACAACACATATTTGTGATAAATTTTTTGAGTGCTCGAAAACTCTAGAAAGTTCCATTCGTATAACCGCCATTAGCAGCTAAGCTAAAATACTCTCCTCAACTGAAAATGAAAGAAACTGAGGCAAAACGGATGTTGTCCCACTAACATGAAGCGCCCGTAAGCAGGGAAAACCCATATGAAGTCCAAGTGGGGTTTCATCCCGAAACCAATTGGTGGAAGGAGGAGTAGCTCGTTAGACTTATAAGGTTGGTCTATTTTTCATGTATGAACGATGTGGGACAACTCACAAGTGATATTCTAACAAAGGCCAACTTCAATCAGTCGAATTTCTCAAAATGACTCAAAATTCCTCCCCACATTTCACTTGCTTTTCTCCTAATAAAATTTTCAATTCACCAGAGAGAAAGAGAGCATAAAAACTTTACCATCATTTAAGGTTGTGCTTCCAATTCCATTGCTGATGAAAGCAAGGTGAAAGATATTTATTTTGGCATTAGTTCGAAGGTTCTAACAAGCACCTGGAACTACAGAAACAG